GGTCTGCACTCGACGCTCTTCTCGTTTCCCGAAGTAAAGGGTATGTACAAATTTCACCAGATGACTAGCACTTTGGCCTTCGAAAGGTGGCCTGCTTTAGGACATTTTTTCAATTGAATATCCTATTCACTGAATTCCAGAAATCTAATTCATCAGCATGGTCAAGAAATGGTAAACAATGGTTGGTAGTTCTGAAGAAGCGCTAGTTTCCAGGGAGGGAAGTATTGGGTTGCTACATAATATCGTAGCTTCTAGTCACAGCAAACATTACAAGGCTTATCACGCCATTCTGGCGATCCACTATTGATCCACACAATCTTACAGTTCCAAAAAACGGAAATCGGTTCTCTTTTGGTGTCGTGCCGTCGAAGCAAATCTCATCCTTCTTGAGATCTGGTGAGCCACTTTCGCATTTCGTTTTGCTGTGGCATTTTCAACTTATACGGCGTTAATATCCTTACATTTGGCAGGTTTTTGATAACGATGAAAACACCAAGGAATAGCAGCTTGGCGCTTCTGCAATAAACGGGCGTGCCGTGTTTGAAACGCTTCAAACATCTCTTTTTTGTTATGAACGGACCGGGCCATGGGTGGAAAGGGAGAGACTCCATAAGTTAGTCCGAGGAAAGCCCCGTATATTACGATAGCACCGCAGCTAAGCAGTTTGTCGCCTGACTTACATCACTTTCTAAGCCCTAAATTCGAGCAGAGTTAACTTCCGAGAAAGCCCACAGAAATAGAATTGTAATGTGTAAAGAACATTTTCGAATAGTTTTCCTGGTAAAAACCGGCTGACTGAAATCAAATGCAGGAAGAAAAATACTCCAATATTGCGTACCAACTCAAAACTTTCGTGGACAACTCAGAAAAAATAAGAAAGACTAAAATAAATGTCTGAAATACGATCATGACCTGTTTTCGCATAATTGACAGGTATAGGTACATTTTTCAGTCTATCTGAGTAACGTAACATCGCAAATTTCGCCAACTTAAACACATTACCCCGTGCGCCACTATTTGGTTCACGTGCTAAATGAAAAGTGCCGATTATGTAAATCAAAGCCGTTTTGTTTGATTTACATAATCGGCACTTTTTGTGCTCCATAGTGCCTATATGGAGTTTTAGAGCTCGAAAAACAACACATATGTACATAAAGAGTGCTTGAAATTGTAAACAAACAATTGATTACACACAAAAATACATGAAAACTGCAGAGATGAATGCAGTATGCGAATAGCAAGGTGTGAATAAAGTAGGTATGTAGAAACCGTTTAGTCAGGCCAAGCAGTTAGCAAAAAATGGAAAGTGCAGCATAATTCAAGAGAAACAACTTGTCGAATAATAAAGCAGAAGAAACACTTTGTGTTGGCCCACGAAACCGGCAACCACTCTGCTTCAGGCCAAAAAGGGAACATTTCGAAGACGAGGTCAAATTGAGCGAAATTCAAAACTGAGGTGAAAGTACTGGCTTAGTCCCAGTGAGTAAAACTGCAGTTGTCTGCAGAATGAACAATTTATCACTGTTCGCAAAATCCTAAACCGAACCTCTCTTATTCTACTGGAGAAGTTTTCTGCCTTTGCACTTACAAATATATGCGGCCTCAGTATAATTCATCAAAAAATGTCGTATTCGACCATGAAAAAAATTGCAGATATACATACCAGTTATAAATAATACAATTTTGTAGAACTACCGAGACTCAGATCCGGTATAAAAGCACTAGAGAGCGATGGTGTAAAGGAGTGGCGCGCTTAGATCTCGATTGCGTGCCTATTGACTCTGACAAAGCATCAGAGAACGCAACAGAGAACGCACATTTTGACCACGAATTTCTTTTCGTCATGTTTAAAAGTGCAACAGGGAAAAACCGGTAGCAAGCAGCTTTTTCCTTCTACCAACGGCGTAAACAATCGTTTATCAATTCAATTTTTAGCTGCTCCTACAATTGCTTGGCCACACTTTACCGTATTCCGAGGACAATACGACATTGCATACAAACAAGAATTCATGAATTTTACCATTTCAGTGACATCCCATCCAATGAGAATTTCCATTATGCTGAATGGCAATGGCAATTACAAACCAACGTTTTCATTCTATATAACCGTTGAATGAGTTAATTCAAGAGATAAATACGATAAATTGATATCAAGCAAGCAGAGAGACAAGTTCCCCAAGGGAGAGCTGCAAACCGCGTCAATCGATAAGGAGTGCTTTTCCTGAAAGGGATAAGACAACGACGCTTTAAAAAGTGATGAGTGATCCTTTCACATTTCCAGGTTTTTGTGGTATTATCGTATTGCATTGGAAAAGGGTAAAAGGACGAAGGGCTGGACTTTAATGGAAGCTTTCTAAGATAAGTCGTGCCCTTGAATCAAGTCTCCTATGAAGGACTGAACCATTGAAGCTCGGGAAATATTTTATAAAAAAAACAATAGAAAAGAAGGGATGATGGACAATGCCCGAGACGCACTTTAGTTTGAACCGCAATTGCAGCAATAATTAGTATTACTACTTGAAACATAACTCTTGCTCTTCAAAAAACTGCCATAATTCATAATTATCGAAGAAAACAGGGCGGCCATCGGGTGATTCAAGAACCAAGCCTATAACTGTATTGGTTGCGCATTGTTTCCAAAACCTGGAAGGCTATTTCATTCGAAATGCCAATCAATTTGAATAGCAGCTTGAGATTCCGAAAAAGATACATTTGAAAAATTCCAAACATCCCTGCAACAAAGCTGTCGGACCAAGATGAATGCCAGCAGCGCAGGGATATAGAGCTCATGCCGATGACGAAAACATCGCTATCCTCGGGTTTGAAAAGACTTGAGTGGCCCTCGGCAATTACGTTACGAGACGGTTGTTGCCGCGAAGGTGGCCATGACATCACTAGAGCTCAAAAAATAGTTCAGCTGTAATGTGCCCTACGTCAAGATGACATCACTCTCAACGCACGTTACAACTTTGAGTTAACATAATTTAGTTTGGAAGGAAAAAGCGAGATCGCTAGGGGAAAGTCCATCATAGCATTGGGAGACAAAATAAAATCCTTTAGAATTTAGATTCTTTCTGTCGGGATTGAGCCTGGAAATTATTATAAAAGGCATTCAAAAAGCAGTGCGCTGTGTTATGCTGAGCAGGCGGCAGATGAACTATGAGAGAAACGTGAGGAATGCGAAAACGCTGCACAGAGCGCAATCTAATCATTAAGGCAAAACATTAACTAACATACATGCTCACACTTTTCCGCATCCACAAAAACTTCCGTTATGGAGAAGTGAAGAAAAAAAACTGTCTACAAGCGAAATGAGGCCAAATAGCGAACTTCAAGAAACAAGTCAATCTAGTCCCAAACAAGCAACCAACTATTTCCGTCACCGGTCATCACAATAAAAGACGCAATAAAATAGATACTGTAACCGAACACTATCCAAAAAAAACTCACGATTCGTAGCTATTGTGCTTGGCTAAATGTTCACGAAAATGTCGGAAACATTTCGACTGGAACGTGCATTGCATATAAGGGCAACCGAATGTTGCTGATCGTCCAAAATGTCGAGACCTTAACAGACGTTAACATCAGACACAACGCAGAACAATGGCGCTTCTCAACCGAATATGTAAGCTCCAGGGAGCATGTCGCCTCATAATTAAGCGCCCGAAAAAGGGTTCAGCACCTAATTAGAACCACTAACTGTCGAACTTGTCGATGCTAAAGTGCATGCTACACGCGTTTTTTCAATAGTGTACAACCCAGTGCAAGCAAGCCAAAGTCGCTGAATACGAACACCATTACAAGAGCACTTCTTCCAGATTTTCCCATATGTGTAGTTTGGTTTGAGGAACAATTTAATAATATTTTCGGAAAGTAATTTGTTCTTTCTTTACAATAATTCTATTCAGTTTCGTAATTTTCTTATTTCTGCAATGGAAAAAAAAGAAAAATGAGAAAATAAAAATGGACAGCAAGCAGAAAGACAGTGACGCTATGCATGGTGCCGGCTGAGATAGTTCCATTATCCCCTCATGTCACCGTCAGAGATTTAATGGCGAGTGAGGGGCAAATGCGAATAAATCCACAAAGATATTGTCATAAGAAGCTTTCAGCATCACCAACCCCAGACTGCCGCCATTCTTGACATACCGACTGGGGTACAAACAAGAGAAGCCCACTGCCAAAGATGCACACAATCGCTAACGCTGCTGACGACCACTTGAAGGATCGATGATCAACGGAGATAACAATTCATACTACGTCACTCATGCGAGCTCCTTTGTGTTCCTAAGCTATCAACGTAAAAAATTTTGCCTGCTCTCTGATGACAGATAACTGATTTTGCGTCCGAATCGAATAAATCGGTAAATCAGACACAAACATGGCTTACTACACCCTTCTCGACGGACTTCTATCGATCGCATTTTCCGAATCATTTCAACCTCAAAACCCCTTCATAGAAAAAGCGCGGAGCAATCAATAATGAAATTAGCTTCAGACTGAAAATGGTAAAAGAAAATGTCATTTTAGAAGTTGTCATTGGAAACGTCCAATAATCTACTCATGCCTAAAAATGGGCGGCCCAAGATAGACTTCTAGAGCAGAAACAGATTAGGCCACATGAAGGAAATAAACCACGCAAATAAACCGAGATACAGGAGAAAACTCACTGTATGTGCTGCTGGTAACTTGCCGGCTCCATGTAGGCTTCATAACAGTACGGACACTTGTAGCCCCAATCACGTCTTGCAGTGTGGCTGCGAAGCTTGTGCCTCCGTAAGGTCATTTGACTTGCTGCAAGCACAAGCATAGAAAAATTATATTTACTATCGTAAGAAGATACATAGATCTAGTACGAACTGTTAATTCTGAGACATATGTGTACCCATCCAAACCACATGCAAATCATGAATTTAAGCCTTTTATTCAATGCCCTCAGAAAATATATCGTAGGGTTACTTACGGAAGGATCAAACATTTGATCAGTTCCGAACAAACAGCCACTATGACCTTTTAGACAGAAATGTGGCAAAAATGTTGTAGCACATCAAGAATGACCCTTGGCTTCTTCGTGCAGACCGACAGAATAGCAAATGCAGAAACTAGTTTTGAACATTTGCAGCATAAGATCTAATCAAATAAAAGGAAAGTAAAGCGACGCCTCTTACTGGTAGTTTGTATCTGTAAGAACAAAAAGGCGAAACCCTTCAATCTTTCGCTAACGACACTGTACGTACCATCTAATATTGTCATGCGATCGAATTTCTATAGCAAAAACAAAAGGGTTATACTCAATTTTGAGGGAAAGCCTATGATAAAACGATACACCACAACAATACACTTGTATCCATATAGTTCCTATACTCGCGAAGATCACTTGCCTGACAGGCGCATTCACTGCTGAGAAAAACCCGCCCGAAAGGAATGGGGGAGACACGGACCCTGTAAGCGGAAGTGTTGCGGTGTTGGCGGACGCATAGTCGGTCGGACGACAGCAACGACTGCAAGTGTCGCACAGCATTGGATGCGTATCGATCGTCGGACTTGCCTGAGTATTCGACGATTAGATGCAGTCAGACAGTCAGACAGTTGCGACCGTTGCTGTCGGACGACCGACTATGCGTGCGCCCTTAGTGGTTGGCGGGTTTTCAACGCGCGGCACGTCGCAATGTCTGCTCGCCTGGCATGTTTGCGTACTTCGAGAAATCCGTTGGCCAGGAGAGTTGTAGGCAGTCTAGGGGGGGGGGTGAGGGCAGTCACTTGACATGCGTGAAAAGCTGGAATGTTCGAGTTTACACTATCTCGCTCGAGAGAGCGCCAGGTGAGCAGACTGCCGCGCCGCCGCGTGGTCCCCCCCCCCCAATTCACTCAGCGATATGGACCAGCAATATGGCGCAAAGGATTCAAATGATAAATTGGCATTTCATTTAAAATCGGCATAGTGTGTGCGCACTTGTTTCGGTAATACCGGCTGTGGAAAAAAAAAAGGAAAGGGAAAGCAAGAAGGAATGTGAAGGATAAGGAAGGAATATGATTTGCTCGGCGAGAGGATCGTATAAAGAGAAGAGAATATGTCAGTACCAGAAAAACCCAACGCCTGAAACCTGGGGCCATGGGTTATTCCCACCACTAGCCGCATTTCATCCACTAAACGGTTCAGAAATGAGTTGACAGATTTTGTTTAAATTTACAAACATTTTAACCAACTTATGATTTCTTGCCACACTCGTCTCGTCATTAATTTGCAAATTTTGAAGTTTTTTTTTTGTTTTTGAGTTCATTTACTTATCCAAGTCAGTCCAGGAAAATGAAAAGGAGAATGTTAGCAGCCTGTTCATGACAAATTAATAAAACGATGGTAGCAACCGACCCGTTATTACGCGAAAAAAATCAACCGCCACATTCGCGGTCGCCACCGTTCTAATTATTTCTTTTATTTTTCGATCTCCATTTCTTTTACATTTATGTTTACTGCAGCAAAAACAGAACACATCCCAGTTTAAAAAATGAAGACGGTCCCGGTGAACAAAAGAGCAGAGTTACAAATTCCAGAGAAGCACCCGTTTCAACGACGTCCTGCTGCATAAATCTAGCGCTAAAGTGCAAATCACTGACGTGAAAACACCTCGGAGATAACCACGAACTGCACTTACTGAGAAACAAACCACAGAGCAGGGTGGCACGGCTTAACGGAAATTTATCAATTCATCTCCATGCAACGGGCTGCTTGGGAAACGCTCGCAATTCTCTTCGACTTGTAAAATCAGGCCCTCAAAAGGTTATTTCCTACTAGAAAGCTTTCTATTTTCACATTACATCACGGAGTATTAACATTCAGAAAAATACACTTCCTCTGAAAGGACTAAAATATACCAAAAAACCAATTTGGATTTCGGTGGACAGAATTCCGCCTCCACTCTGTTGGTTCAAATAATATTGACCTTGGAACACAAGTTACTTCAGTGTTGGCGGTAAACATGTACCACTAGAATTGCATAGAGCACCCAGACCACTTGGAGAGGAGATTGCGGGAGATTAGGGCGAATATGAACGAGAAAAACCTAGCGAAATGTGACCTAATCTAACGAGTCTTCATGAAAACGGGAAACTATGGAGAAAATCGTCCCCTCCTTTAATCCAAAGCAAAGTGAAAATGAGTAAGATCCAAAATTTGATGAGTTGCCATCCCGAAGACCAAACCAGGCATCATCCATGCCTTATCACTGATCACCAGTACGGTTTTCGCTCCCTTGCTCTCATTTTTTCCAAATGATAGTTGAGGAAAGACATACTACATACATAATCAATATTTGAGACGAATGTTTTGATAAAAATAGGCAGTAGATATTAAGCGAAAACACAGACCTGCTGCTGCATAATCACAGTGCTCACATGCGAACGGCCGAGCGTCGTTATGAATGTTCATGTGTTCGTCGTATGAGCGTTTGGACGATAAACTTTTCCCACAAACTCTAAAATGGAAATGTCAAACCACTGTACTTTTACACGTTTGCTGCTCTCAACTTCAGGATATCGCAGAGAGCTTCAGCGCCCGTGAAATTTCAAGTTCTAGTGGTAATGGGCACGACCCTTTTTGCGGCCACCCACTCGACTACGCCATGGAGGAGACGCTTTTTTGGCGCACCACTCGACCACCCATGGAGATAAGAAACCAGATGGCGTACACATCGTTTTCTTCATAGTGGCAGCACCCACCTCTCTGTGGGTGCTTTGTGCATCTATCGTTCAGCCGTTTTACATTCGTAATTGACGATTCTTTGACATTCGTGGGTAGCGAAAGCACAGAGAAGGCCAATAAAAACGTCCATTAAGTAACAAGAGGTCGCTGTCAGTTTTTGCAAATCCAGCGATTCCCTAGTAGCGAATCCGTGGATTCGCAATTCGCAAGTGAGTTGCTGCATTCGCAAAGTCTGACGCCGGCCTAGCACTGAGCTCGAGACGCACCCCGTATAAGAAACAAACAAAATGAGGTAGAACTACTACTGACTGTCACGAAGAGGAAAAATTACTTACCCGCAGTGCCATCGAGTTCTTTGCGCCAGGGGAAGCAAACCGATGATCTGGCCTTTATTACATTCTGTTGCCTTGCCCTTCCCGCTTCTATAAAGTGATGGCCCAGGAAGCAAGTGAGCCTGAAATATATAAGACAACGCTTGAGAGTTGGCTGGGAGTAGAACAATTTGGAATCAATCAGGCTTTAGCGCACAAAAAATTTCAAACCAGGGTCAGCCACGTATGAGGAGAATACGGTGAACAAGATCCCGTCCACCCCTGCCCATGATTGACACCTCATCTCTTCTTTACACGGCCTCTTCCCTTCCGGAAGCCAAAAATCGCAGAAAAGAACGGGAAGTGTACTTGTTGTATTTACAGCTTAATTTACGCTTCTCTCTTCTCCACAAAACTTCACCCTCTCTACCAATCATGTACAACGAGCCACGTCCCCCCTTCCCAAATACCGTATACAACCCTACATCCCCCATAAAAAAAAGAGACAGCAGTGCTCGACCGTGTTAACATAGGTTGGGCGCATTCATAGTCGATCATCCGATCATAACGATTTTTAACGAACGCAGTGCACTCGATGCGTATCGATCTTCAGACGTGTCCAAGGATTGGACGATCAATATGTATTTAACGCAGTGCGATCGTTACGATCGGGCGACCGACTGAATGTGCCCGCCAGAAGCACAATCAAAACACAGCCAAATTTCGAGTTACGCTGTAACAGTTCTATATTGATCCGGTTTACGGACTACTTGATTTTTCCTCAATGGTCCTGCCGCGATGGCTAGAGCACAGACGATTAGAGAACGGGTGAATGCCCTAGGACTAAGCCTTGGAGAGGAGAGGGACCCGCGAGAGAGCGCAGAGGCGGTTTAAAGGGCTGAGTTCAAGTAGTCCGTCGACCATATTGATCCTCAATATAATACGATGTAAGGTGCATCTCAAGGAAGTCAGTTGACACTGAACACTACACCTTCGCATTGACAATGATCACTGGCAAAGTCAAAAATATAGTAAGAAATACATACATCGAAGAAGCTGCACATCCTGTGCGTCAGTCTATAAGTTTATTTACACTATCTCATTAACGAAATTAGCACAATTCCACTATTATTGCCCCAAACCCCCAAAAGACCTTTCTTGCTGGGCCTTCATTTATGGGAAATAGAGCTTGCCGTGAAATAAATGTCGCATTTGTAATCACAGCACAAAATAACCCATGCACACAACTATACACGAATTTGATGAAAACAGCCGTAGCGCCAAAAACTAATTCCATAACCGTAACCCCGCAATTAGGAGGAGGGAAGGTATGCCGCTTGAACAAAATCGTGACTTTTTCGCTGCTCGTAGCGCGAAGCTTTTCATGCTGTGGGAGCCCAGGTTCACTTAAATTAAGGTGTGGACCTGAAAGTTCTCGCAGCGATAAATAACTTCGGCGTTGCTGAAAAAGCGGAAACTCGCGTATTCTGTCCTAGCGACCCACACCCTAATCAGTGTACCACACAACACCCATAGGAGACGTTCCAGCGAAAAACTGAGGCAATGGGACAGCAGAAGTGAAACAACGTCAATGATTCCTATTCCTTTCAGCAACAACAAAATTTCAACCAAAATAGTCAATGACTGAAGGGCAGCGTGGGTTGTAGACGTTGTCGTGCTCACCTTCAAGGGATGTAGTATTATCAAGGGAAAGATTGCTCGCAAACACTTCAGATTGCCAGGTCTTTGATCACTTATCAAGATAACACAATCAGATTAACCGCGTTGAGCATTTAAAAGCCCAATTCCGCTCCCGAGCACAAGCTTAACAAGAAGTTCATAAGTTTGCTGCGAAATATGAGTTCGGGAATGACTATGTATCGACTAAATATAGACCTGGAACCCTAAAAAGATAGCATTGCTTTGTGCCTGGACGAGGGTGACCTGCAGTGTTAGTTAAAAAACTAAAACCTGGAACTTGCTCGGTAAGAAAACTTACTGTATCAGTTTTTGCGCGACCAGCCGGCATAGATACTTTCCCTTGTCGATTCACAAACATCACCTTCATCCTAAATTGGAAAGTATAAGTAATTCAAAACTGAAGAACAGCGGCTTTGAATGATTACCATCAAAACACAATGGATTTTGCTTAGCACATGCTACAAACAACTTTAACAGTTAGGTAAACCAGGTCACGGCAGAAAAGAAGCTAATCTAGAAACAAAAAGAAAGCTAACCCCATCATAGAAGCAATAACCTTAAGCTATTAAATAAGGAATGTTAGAATTCAGAAGAGGAAAGTCGCGGCCGAACAGTTTCAAGCGACAGTGATGTTTTTCTCGAACGCCCTTTCAATGCGCGCGGTAATTGGGTAGCATCCAAATCGTTATCTCGGGTGTTGTAGGCAGAAATAATTGGCGATACCGTACTAGCCAATCCAGTAAAGCTAATGAGAAGTCTTTTCGGAACGGTTCATGCCTGAATACCTGGCTGCAGTGAAGAAGCAGGAAAGGTGAAAGCTCTCTCAAGGCACTGAAAGACAAAGAGATTTGCTGTAACAGGGAGGAAGGAGAATTGGACCAAAAAATCGTTCTACGTATTTTGATTACTTTTGGCTGCATCGCAAACCGAATTTTAACGCCAATTTGAAGAATTGGAGAGTACATCCGACTATCAAAAGAAATATTATAAAATAGTCCTTCAAATGACTTCAGAAGGAAATTTTCCTAATGGAACATGTACAGAACGGTCCGAGCTCAAGAGGACTCCGACATATGGTGGCCCAATTATAATTGATGGCCCTTCACCTGAAAAACGCTGCTTCAGAGAGTGAGATAGTAACATACTTACGCGACTGGAAAACTTCTAGCAGCTCGGTGCTAAAGCAATTACGGTAGGATTCCTTAATCTCGATGGCAACCAGATGGCGTAGTATTTTAAAGACGAATAAGGGCAGAAGGTGGGAGGGGGAGTGCTTAATTAAGGAATATTCTGGTCTGCCCATTTTCCAACCAATGGCTGGCATCCTCAGTTGGCCAACATGTTTGGTGATAATTCGCATAAGAAATGCCTTTTTTGTTACAACTCCCCCCCCTCCCCCCGTGTAAGAAGATGTAAGGTTTAGTTCAGTCAAAATTCCGCAATTTCTATAGATTCTCACAATCGTCCGGAATTTTCCGGAAAAGAAAATCTGACGCTCATGTGCGTAAGGGAGGGGGTGAACATTCAAGGAGCATTCAAAAACCGGCTAGTAGTGACACTAGGCACTAAGCCAGTGAGTGTGCGAAATAAACACCAGGGGACAATGGTTGCTCACATCCTCTCCCAGAATCATTTTCCTCCTCCCAAGGCTCAGTCCAGCTCTATGGGTGGCCCACTTCACTACACTACCCCCCCCCCCCCCTCGAAAGGGAAACTTGACATTGGCTGACACCGTAATAACTTCGTATAAAAACGAAAAATATAGTGCAGGTCTTTGTTGGAAGGTGATATCAACCACATTGAAGCTTTACCGTATCTTACAGTAAGGCTACTCGTGAGCCTAATAACTTTCTTCCAAACGGATACCACAGATTATCGTTTCCTGGCTACATGACTGTCGTCGCAGGGTTCAACAGGTACAGGATATCTCGAAGTCTGATTGGGCGTGTCACCGGAAATGACGTGGCAGCCACCGCACTTGATAGAAGTTGCGCGGATAAGCTGCTTCCAACACGCTTTGCTGATATCTGGCGGAGTATTTTATCCACACAACATCTATCAAGTGCGGTGGCTGCCACGTCATTTCCGGTGACACGCCCAATCAGACTTCGAGATATCGACTGTATTGAACAGGCCATTGAAGAGCAGAGGTTAGTCATAGCCTAACTGCGTTGTCACGTGCAACTCCTCAGCTAGAATATCGAACAAATTGAATAGTCAGCTACGTTCCAATTGGAGGTTTTGGCTGGCCCATCTTGTACAGCCTGAAGTCGTACAAATGGGCTCTGCATCACACTTGACAGAATTTAATCCTGAGCTAGCACTCCGCCCTGCTGGTGAATTCCAGTCGTTTTGGATAGTGAAGTTGACGACGGCTTTCTTTGAAGTTCCTTCCTTGGATAGCATTTGATTCGAAGACAGCTCACACTACGGCTGGGAGGCAGGGGGATTTTGGTGGCGTCATTGGTGGAAGGCAGAGAGTTGGAACGTAGTCCAACGTGTTCACTTCCTTTAGGTTCTTTCTCTCACATTTACCAAAGCCAGCGCAGAGAGAGACGTGGCAGTGTTCGTAAGTACTGAGGTAATTCATCTTTAAAATGTAAGTAAGCGGATGACATTATGAGGGTGCATCCTTCGGATACAGCGTGTTAAAATTTTTGGTCATTCATCTGCCGTTTTTTTTCTGAAGTTAGGGCAAACATTTGAGTTTCGTTGAATGTGTGCTAAACCTAACATGAAGAAAGGAATTTCTCGTCGGCCTTTTTGTGCGCTCCTTTCACGGCTGGTGCGAGAAGGCCTGTTTTTTTTGACGCTACTTTTCATCGGCACATTCAGAGGAGATTTGTGTTTTGAGATTTATAGACTTCTATTTTGAATTTGCTACCTACAACTCTTTGCATCGTTCAATCTGATACTTCTGAATCCCAATGCCAATATAGTACCAGCTTCCTTAGAGAGCTGCGTTGGATGCGTTGGATAGGTTTGAGTGGTATTCACGATCACCGTATAGTGGGCCTGTACGGGAAGACCTTTGAGTATTCTTGGCTCTGTCGCAGTGTGACATTATGAGGATACAGTAGAT